TCTACTCCCTTAGTCTTGAAATACAAAATGTCGAAGGTTTAAAATTTATCTTGGATTCTAAGGTATTCTGAATTGCTTAACCTCGTCCATACGTGTCCGCCTTTTAAAATCCATCTATGAATGACTGTTGAACATGTTACTAAGAATGACTCATGTAAGTGTCTTTTACGACAAACATGCTTTTATTTCAAATGGCATCTAGCTGTTAACAAACTTACAGAGTACATGAGTACAGATGCAACGCATCCGTTAATGGGGACTGTGAAACATGAGCTGTGTTCGAACAAGCACAAGCTAGACTTAAAGGCAAATGAGAATCTGAAAGAGCCTGTCTAGCTAGACTGTTTGTCGTTTGGTTCTGAGTCCTCCGGGTCTTTGAAATTCTTGTGCCTCTTTGTCTTGTGTAGTTATTGAAAAGGCGAGTGAAGTGTTTGATCCTCCTATCCGGGGGATTGGTTTGATCTGAGGCATTCAGGAAGTGCACAAGTTGTTCACTGATAAGAAATTTATGTCCTGCAGATTGAGGCGGTCGGTGATAATTGCTGCTAGCGCCAGAGCAACATCTTTCACCATCAGGACGATAGATGTTGACTCTGTCATCACCGCCTTGATGTGGTTTGAGTCGGTTGTACCTGGGTGTTGATGATGAAGACTCCAATTCCAGCCCTTCTTGGCAGAAGGGTGGGAAGATCAGGCAAAGTTGATGTATCAGTGTAGCATCTGATGCCTTGTAGTAGCTCAGGAAGTTGGACTGCTTATATATATCCAGCAAACTCCTCCCGTGTCTGTCCGTCTAAGACATTGTTGATGACTCATGTAAGTTGATAACCATAATAAGTAACATGCACGCCTACCTTTTAAAATTATGCCTATTTAAAAAATATAAGCAAGCTAAAAACCAAACTAATTAGCGATGAGCAAATTATTAGTTTTTTTTAACAGACTTTAGTTAGCTTGTATTTCAAAACGGATAGAGTAACCTCTCGATCCATCGTCAGCACGAAAGGGTTCGTTTCTGTTTGCTCTATTTTAGCGATTGCCATTTTATCTAAAAGAAAACAAATTTAGCGATTGCAGCACGAGCACGACAAAATCTGGGACAAGCTAGCGAGAGTACACTAGTGCAGCATCTCCGCGATCAGTCATGTGGGCTTTCCATAATAGGGCCTTGATTAGTTGGCGAAATATTTTGGAAAATTGTATTGTTGCACTTTCGTTGTTATTTGATAATTAGTGTTCAATTATAGTCTAATTAGGCTTAAAAGATTCGTCTCGTGAATTTTGTCTAAACTGTGTAATTAGTTTTATTTTTTATTTATATTTAATGCTTCATACATATGTTCAAAGATTCGATGTGACGGAGAATCTTGAAAAATTTTACAAAATTTTAAGAACTAAACAGGCACCCGGTGAATTTCACACGAGCACTTCTGAACGGGCAAACAAACCTGTGGCTCCGCAAAGCTTCCCTTCGCAGCAGCTACAAAGTAGTACAAACAGTTGCCAGGCACTCCCGGTTTCCTTTTCTTTCGCATTATTAGGCGAGGTTTGTCCACGCATCCTGCAAACATGGAGAGAAATTCCCCGATGCGCACTCATCCCGTCGCGGACGCCAAGGATCGACCGCGACGCCTGCGCCGGAGATAGACCGGCCGTTTGTGCTTGTGACCTGGTGACATGCCGAGCCTTTCGTTTTCCGTAGCCCAGTTCTCGCGTCCGTCTCCTTTCGTTTCGCTATGTTAGTTGATTTGTTGTGAGAGAAAAATATTATTTATTAGCTAAAAAAGTACGGTTCAAGCGAACTGGACGTATACCATGAACACTTGTTCCATAAAAAAAATATCATGAACACTCCATGCTTTTGTTTAGTCACGGCACTGAGCGGTGCGAGGGATAGTGGCGTGGTGACAATGACACGCGCGGCCCGCGGCGTGTGTTTGACTTGTTGCGTGGACGGCTGGAAAACATCGCTGTTCTCCTGCAGCTAAAGTTCGCAGGGAAACGTAGCACGCAAACCAGTACTACTGGTGATGGTGGTCACTGGTCAGAGATTTTTTCTCACCTGTCATGCTGGTCCCGTTTGCTTCACTGAAAAAATAAACCAAAACCAAGCTTCACTGGTGATTTATTAATGAAAGAAAAATCTTTGTTTTGACTAAAAAATAAAATTGAAAAAAGGCGGATTATAAGAGAAGCGAACATACTTACTTAATAGTGTTTTACGTGTAAGAGAGAATAAAATTCAAATAAAGTAAGCCACGTAGATGAGCATAACAGGATTCGAAGTGTTCACTCGAAGTGTTCCATGATCATAATAGTACTGTAACTCATAGAGCCACGCCGTAGATCGGAGTTTTGCCCATCCTGAAACTGGTCACTGAACAAGTGACGTCGTACAGAACGATGGGATGCGGATGCGGTGTGGTGTGGTGTCTCAGTCTCACGTAGTCACGTCTGCCCGTAGGCTGTGGCTGTGAGCTGCCACTGCGACTCTGCGAGCACACGGTTTCGTGGTGTGTTTCCACTTCCGTACGTTAGCAGGGATCACCCCCCTCTCTCAGGCACCAGTTCCCCACGCGAACGTACGAGCTCGCATGGTCGGTCGTCCGTTCACGACTTCACCAGTCACCAAGGCGACCCCGGCGCCGGCGTCTCCCTCGCGGTCACGCGCCGTCCCCAGGTTCCCGGTGTGGCGCCACGCCGCAGGACGCTAGGCGACGCGCCCCATGGGCCATGGCCCCATTTGTTTAAGCCATGGCCCCATATCTGGGGTGGTAGGAGAAGAATCCCAGCTGCGCGCGAGAACCGCACCGGCCTCCCCGACGACTGCGTATCGGTCGCTCGAGACGCTACACCTGTCCGCTCGCTCGCCAGCTCGACCACTGCCGCCGCTCCACGCATACCGCGGTGTGGCCACCTCACCCAGCCCCGATATACTGCATACTAAAAAAACCCTTAATAATGTGGCGGCAGTTGTACAATTTTCGTTTGCTTAACCATGGAAAAGTGCTGGATTATTACACGGTTACACTACACCACCTGACGCGTGCGTCAAGGTGCTCAAGGCGTCAACGTAGCAACGGGGCTGCAGCGCGTGATGTGTGAGCACCATGTGTGATACAGGATACAACTAGCATGCATTTGCTGGTTAGGGATGGACCGATGGAGTAATCGCCTGGAAAGGGGTTCTCCAAACAATATCATGTTCGTTTATGCTGAAATTTGACTTAGGTTGATATTTATTCTGAAATATTGTGAGAGAAACACTGTTCCATAACTAAAATATAGCTCAAGCGAACAGGGCGAACGGCACCGGCCTTCTCAGAAACGTGAATAAGAAATGGAGTGTTCATGTTCACGTAGACGAAGAGCGGCACCGGCTTGCTGCTTAGTCAACTTTGCTTTAGCGAGCGAAAATAAATCAGTATGCTAGCGTTGCACCGAATATGGCATATGATTTTATTCCAATATATAGTCCATTGCTTTGATAGAAGTATTATTAGATAGATAAAAGGCTAAAGCTTGAAAACAAATGGACAGATAGAAAAGTTTTATTAAAAAAAAAGAATCAAACAATGCGAATTGAGTATACTCAACTTATTGAGTTTCTTGTGGTGGAACCTACCCATCCGACTCTCTCTTTACCCAAAAAAGGTAAAGCTATATGACACTCAGAGTGTTTCACGCGTCGTCCGCATTCGATTCTTTCCTAGCCATCAGATCCACCATCGATGCCTGCAGATCTGACCTCTCCTGTTCATCTTCTCCAAGCTCGACAGCCTTAGAACGGGAGCTCCTGGGAGGTAGGCTAGGCAGGTGGTGGGGATAACTTCCGAGCAGTTAGGGGCCCTGGCGGCGGTGGAGGCAAGTGGGCCAGGTTAGGGCGGGGGCGCCCATGGCCGGAGCTTGCCGCGAAAGAAGGAGGGAGGATGGGAGAAGGAGGCCGCAGCAGCCAGCTGCAGAGCTTCGACGAAACCTTAGCACCGCCGCAGGGGCGGTGGGCGACAATGAGGATGAGGAGGAAGATGAACAATACAAACAAAATCGAGTGTTCCTCCCCTAAAACACTTGAACTGACAGACTAAAAAAAACAACCAATCCAATGTTACCGAAAAAACCCACGGCCGCAGAGCTCTGGTGAGACTCTATCGCGGCCTCGGCGGAGTAGTCGGTGAGAGGAAGATGGGCACTAAAAAAAATCGAGTGTTTCTCCCAAAACACTCAAACCTCGTGTAGACAGAGTGAAAAAAAAACTATAGCAAAAAACAAACAAACAATGGCTGTGTTCGGCTGACTGGCTGGTTGATTGCCGGTTGATCAGCCACCTCACAAAATCACTATTCACGTCCAGCCAGAACAGTATTTTTCTCTCACAACAATCAACCGAAATAATATTTTTCAGTCCTGCGGAACAGGCCCAATGCACCGAAAAAAAACCAACCAACGCAATCACACGCATCACGATGCCTAAACTAGGGCAATTCAACCAGCAGAAAAAAGCGGTACAACAAGAAGCAACCACGGCCGAGATGGACCCAGCTCAGCAAAGGCCTGTTTAGATCGGAATTAGAAATTAGTATTTGATATTGTAGCACTTTCGTTTGTATTTGATAATTATTGTTTAATTATGGCCTAACTAGATTTAAAAGATTTGTCTCATAATTTATAATCAAATTATGTAATTAGTTATTTTTTATCTATATTTAATACTCCATACATACGTCTAAAGATTTAGATTTAATATGATAGAGAGAGTGAAAAAACTTCCGATCTAAACCAGGCCAAAACACGGAAACGGCGAGGGCATAAAGCAAAAGCACCCACACACACCGGACTCCGGAGAAAGAGTTAAGAGCGCGACAGACTGCGCGAGGGAGAGGAGGGGAAGAGAGAGCAGAGCAGCGCAGCTGCACAGAACTGCACAGAATTGTTATCGCAAGCTGCCTGCCTCCGCTGCCGGCCGCACTACCCAATCCCCGTGCTCGTTTCCCCACCGTCCGATGGCCGCCGTCACGCCGCCGCCGCAGTCGGACACGCCGCCTAAGACGGGGCGCCCGGCCTCGTCCGCCGCCGCCGTCGCCGCGGCCAAGCGAGGAGCGGGTGGGGCTGGCGCCGCCGGGGGGCTGCTGATGGGGAAGTACGAGCTGGGGCGCCTCCTGGGGCACGGCACCTTCGCGAAGGTGTACTACGCGCGGCACGTCGGCACGGGGGACAACGTTGCCATCAAGGTGCTCGACAAGGAGAAGGCCGTGAAGAGCGGGCTCGTCCCGCACATCAAGCGCGAGATCGCCGTGCTACGCCGCGTGCGCCACCCGAACATCGTGCACCTGTTCGAGGTTATGGCCACGAAGACTAAGATCTACTTCGTCATGGAGCTCGTCCGCGGCGGCGAGCTCTTCTCCCGCGTTTGCAAGGGCCGACTCAGGGAGGACACCGCGCGCCGCTACTTCCAGCAGCTCGTCTCCGCCGTGGGGTTCTGCCACGCCCGCGGCGTCTTCCATCGGGACCTCAAGCCCGAGAACCTCCTCGTCGACGACCGCGGGAACCTCAAGGTATCCGACTTTGGACTTTCCGCCGTCGCCGACCAGTTCCGTCCCGACGGCCTGCTCCACACCTTCTGCGGCACGCCGGCCTATGTGGCACCCGAAGTGCTCGGCCGCCGCGGGTACGACGGCGCCAAGGCCGACGTGTGGTCGTGCGGTGTCATCCTCTTTGTGCTCATGGCCGGGTATCTCCCTTTCCATGACAAGAACATCATGGCCATGTACAAGAAGATTTACAAGGGCGAGTTCCGCTGTGCGAGGTGGTTCTCCAAAGACCTTACCAGCTTGCTGACGCGCATTCTTGACACTAACCCCAACACTCGGATCACTTTGCCGGAGATCATGGAGTTGCGCTGGTTCAAGAAAGGATTCAAGCCTGTCAAGTTCTATATCGAGGATGACCAGCTGCATAATGTTATAGATGATGAGGATGGCCTGTTGGATATGGGACCTGCTGGTCCTGTTCCTCCACCATTGCCACCTCCACCACCGCCTCTACCTCCGCCAAAGGTTGATGATGATGAATCAGGGTCGGACTCAGACTCGTCAATCTCATCCTGCCCTGCTTCAGTGTTATCTAATGAGAGCCAAAGGCCCCGTGGCTCGCTCCCACGTCCAGCAAGCCTTAATGCGTTCGATATCATATCATTCTCAAGGGGATTTAACTTATCAGGGTTATTTGAGGAGAAAGGGGATGAAGTGAGGTTCATCTCGGCTGAGCCCATGTTGGATATCATAACGAAATTGGAGGACATTGCAAAGCTGAAGAGTTTCAAGTTGCGGAGGAAGGACTGGCGGATCTGCCTGGAGGGTACAAGGGAAGGAGTTAAGGGGCCATTAACAATTGGCGCGGAGATATTTGAACTCACACCTCCCCTTGTAATGGTGGAGGTAAAAAAGAAGGCAGGGGATAATGAAGAGTACGAGGACTTCTGCAACAAGGAATTGAAGCCAGGGATGCAGCACCTTGTCCACCATATGGTCCGAGCTCCAAGTATGCTTACCGATGCCGAGTAGGTCGAAAGGTAGTAAATTTCCTTCACTTTTTCTTATGATGTTACTGATGCCATTCCTAATAATATTTTTAACAATATTTATTTGCATGATCCAACCTCTGTAGATTAAAATCACATGGTGTTCTACTTATGCTAATTCAGGCATGATATGTTTGCTTTGCTAATTCCGTGTGAACAGTCATGAATTTCTTGGCCCAGATATTCTCTTGCTAGTCTTTGAACATACTAGTTTTTGATAATTGCTTGTTGGAAACAAGCGAGGTCTGAAATTGTCTGCAGAATGATTACTTAAAATGCATCACCACTTGATCAAAATTAAAATTTATATACCATGTTCTAGTGGTTCTGCAGTTGCTCAACAATTGATTTCTTTATTTCTAGGTATAGGTCACATGCTGGCTTCACTAAGATCCATGCATTATGAACACATGTCACGAGCACAAGTTATCTTTGGCATCCCAATTGATTAGTTTTTCGCCTAGCTTGATTGGATCTCTATTTTCTGTGGCTATTAGTTAGACTTACCTTTTAAAAGCTTCTGTTGTGATTATCCACATTCTGTTGAAACTTACCTTTTCAGCTCGCAGGTAAAAATACAATGAACTTATTTTATGTTCTTATGCCAGCATTACTTCCATAATACTGCTGCTGTGAGTAATCTACACCCCCTTTTTTATGGAATTTTATCAAAAATGAAGGAAGAAGGAGGGGCTCATTCCTTTTATTCCATAAGGAAACTTTCTTAGAAGGTTTCGAGCATGCTAGTCCAAATTTGGGAACTTTAGGGTGCATTTGGTTCTTCAACCAAACCTTGCCTACCCTTGCTGAGCAAGGATTTGATGCTGCTGCTGCAGCACTTGGATGCTTGGCTAGCTTTGTCTCAGTTCTCGTGCTAGCAAGAATTTCCAAAGTTTCAGCTTGCTGCCAGTGGTGAGCCAAAATGCCTCTCCTGGCCAAGCAAGTTTCTTGGAGCTTGTGCTAGTAGGGTAAAATAATCTTGCTCTGGAACCAAACGTCTTATACTCTCTGTAGATAAACAATTCAGGTTTATGCGGTGTATCACTTTTATTCCTCTATCATAAATTACAGTTACAGTGATGTTATGACTTCTTCCTGCATTAGAGTTATTCAGGTTTACTTGTGCGATGATGGCAGTAGGTTGTATTCACCATTTATTGTATGTCAGGAGTTGATTTGTGGGGTTTGTACTATGTACATTGGTGGCTTTATGTTAAATTTCCTCTGTGGTGGCGTAATGTTCTCACATTAGCACAACCAAATCTTACGCATATCTGCAGCCACAATCAGGAGTTGCTGCTTTCGTGGTCAGCTTAGTTGAATGAAAATTTAAGCATGATTAATCCTTCCAGGCACACAAAAAAATGTCATTTGAGCTTCTTTTTCTGTATCAGTTGCCCTTTCTTGAACCTGAAGTTTTCTATGTCTTAAATCAGTCTGCCTAATGTTCTTTCACATAAATAAGTGGATCCGGTAGTAATACTATCATCCACTGGGATCTTGTAGTTATTAGTTCCGGCACATGGAAATATTTTGTTTGATTGTTCATCTTTAGGTTTATTTAGGTATAGTATCAACGGATTTAAACTTTCTTTGCGGCCCGATGGGGCATGAATATTAATGTATTTAGATGCACAAATTTCCTGATAGGTTTGCTTGTCATGGATCAGCATGGATGTTTATTACGATTTCAGAAACTTGTGACAGGACTGCAGAATCGATTGCTTTATTATCTGACCATTTCCTTTGCTTGGTTTGCTTGTCATGGATCAGCATGGATGTTTATTACGATTTCTGAAACTTGTGACAGGACTGCAGAATCGATTGCTTTATTATCTGACCATTTCCTTTGCTCACTGCAGGTTTTGAACTTAACAACAGCACTTCGCACGGAGCTACTGGTAACAGGAGTGACTCGGAGCGGCATGAGGCTAGAGACGCAATTGAGCACAGCACAGCTGACCAGAAGAGATCGTAGTCGGTACAAAAATCTTGACCAGTTCCACACCACTGTAGTTCCGCAGATGATGAACTCGACATCTCATGACTGAATAAGTTCTGTTCTCCACGAGGGCAAACAATGCCCGCCATGGATGGAGACTGTGGATGTAACATACTCCGGTGTCTTTGTTGGTACCTGAGGTTAAGTTGTTGCTGAATGTTGTTGTATCGCGGGTGGTGTAGTCCTGCTATTGGTTGTAGGCGCGCAGCAGGATAATTATAATAATTTGGTTAATCATCTTGCTATTCTGTCGTCTCCAACGATGAATCGGGTGCATCCTGGACCTGGACAGGCACATCCGCACATGCTCAGCTCCGGGCTCCGGCCTCCGGCCTGATTGGGATTCCGAATCTTCGATTTCTGATGCCGCATAATTGAATGGAGTCCCGATTTGGAGAGGCGCTGATGTTTCGGACTCTGCATGAGTCGCCTAGAGACAGAGGGCGGCCGCCGGATTGGCAGGGAGTGCGGCGGCCCTAGTCGAGCACGTGAGCCGGCGTTGGCGCTGGGTGGCATACCCACCGGCGCGCGTGGGCTGCCGGGCCCGACCAAGAAAGCGCCGTGTGTGGCTACGCGGGGCTCGGAGTTGGGTCCCCCACTTTTGTTGCTGCGCGCCTGCAGAGATAAAGATCGCATTATTATTATCGTGAATGGGTTTTGTGTCGCCGTCCTATCTGTGACCGTGTTCTTTTTTCTGGATTCGCCGATAAGCACAATCGGTGACACTGACACTGACATGCGAGCGATGAAGAATGCAACGGCGAGGGCCGCGGATGTGTCTGATATGGGTGGTGCTAAACTTGTTAGAACCTTGTCGGTGTATTTGCTCGGATGAAATGTCCTAAAGTATACTTCTCAACTCTAGTTTCTTACAAATTATTATCAAAGACAATGAGGTTGCCTTCTTCTCTTTTCCTTTTTTTTTCAAAAATGAATGAAGTTACTTCGAGAGCCTATGTTTTCAGAACATCTGCGACTGCAGGTAGTACTCGTATCCAGTGCTTCTGAAACTTTCACCGAAACGAATTGTACACGCTATAACAATTGGCGTATGATGTTCGTCCGTATCCATATCTTAACTCTCCATCCGAATCGACCTTGATAAATAGTAGAGATTGATCATTAAAGGGCGGTGGAACAACTCTGAAGCCACTGGTGAATCCAGGTGGGTCGGCCGACCCCACCTCTAGCTCCTTCCACGTGGATCTCTGTCATTATCTCTTGGACAGTGGATTAGAGCTCATTGGAGTCAGTTTTGTTGCAGACTTGATTTGTTGAGATAGCATGGCCCACTTGATACGTTTTCTGAATAAACTCTCATGCATTCACAAAATCACCAAAACTTGTGAAAATAAATAGTTCAAACCACTACACCTATGTTGATGATTGATTTTAAGTATAAATGTAAGTTATATTGATGTTTTATGATTGTCATTAATGGCCGTCAACAAGTCCCGTATTACCTTAGTTCTTTATGGGGCATATGACTAAACTTTAAATAGTGGATCATGAGTTGCTACAATGTTTCACATTTCAAGAGTACCACATGTACAACAAACATATTTCTCTTTTGTATGGAAACATTAGCAATATGAAAATTCACCCATATTACCTTAGTTCTTTATGGGGCATATGACATTTTTCCTTTGTCTTGGGTGGTTGAGAGACAGAATAGCTTTTGACTTGAGCACTATTTTTCTCATTCCGCACAATTTTCATATAGGAGGTTTTGTGATATTTTCAAAAGAAAACTTAATGTTCCTCAAATGGTGCTCTCATGTCGCTCAAATGGTGTATGATTCTCACAAAGGCATATTTTTGAAATTGCCTTCTCATCCTACTTCTATAAGGCTTATATGGAGCTTAAGTATGGATAAAATATGTAGCATACTTATCTTGCATATATTGTAAAGCCAAATCCCGGATCTAAGGAGAGAAGTGTCATACTCGTAGAAAGGTGCATGTGTGTGGATATATAGTGGACATATATGATGGATAAATAAAACTTATTATGCTCCTTAAAACATATCTCTCTTGGAATATATATTTTTGTGAGGACATGAGCTACCTTATTCTCATCTTTCTTTTTCTTTCTTCTCTTTTTTTTAATAATAGCCTCATGCCTCTTTTTGCAACAAAATTTTGAGAGAGATATTATCAAGAACTTGGAGCATTTATTTTGATGGAACCTAACCGACATGTTTTTGCCTATTCCCATTGTAGTAGTAGAACATTTTTTGATGGATCTAAATGGAAAACATGTTTTTGCGTACTTTCAGTGTAGAAGCATCGTATATATGTGCTGGGTACGTGACCTTGATCTTGAGAGCATGATAAATCTCTCAAACAAGCGTCAACAAGACTTGACAAAGCTCAATACAAAGAAAGCAGCTTACGTAGAAAGCTTATATCATGAAAGAGCATATATGGCTTTGGTAGGAATTTATCACCATTGAGGAACAAAAAGGTTTTTCATTATTTTAAGAAATAAATCTCCGATAATCATACATGTTTGGAACAATATTATACCAGCTTTTGTCTCACCATATCATATCTCACAACAACTTAAACTCAGTTACAGCACTTGCAACCCACAAAGTTTTAGGTACATGATGATTTCATATGAGCCAAGTAATCCATACTTAGAGAAATATCAAGCTGTAAACTAGGTACTAGAGAAACATTAACAGAGCAACTATTCATTATTTTCATAAAGAAAAAATAGACATGCATAAGATATAAATAAACAAAGGGAAATATTTTTGGCATTTTTACCATATTCATCTTTTTATAATGCATTGCAATAAAGAAATAAAATTATCTAAGATGCACATGCAAGGAAAGAAATACTTACCTTAGTGGGGAGAAGGAACCTCCCTCAAGCTTGTCTTTCACTCACGGCTGTGGTGGATGTGGTGGATCCATCCTGTGGTATGTCCAGAAAGCTCTCCAATTGTGGGTTTGCTCGCGTTGCATGGCCATGATGAGTTGGCGATTTCGAGCAACATCACCACGTATGGCTTGTTGTTCCACACGCATCTCACTCAATTGATGGGTGAGTTGGTGCATGTCCCGCCTCAAACCCGGATAGACCTTGTCTTGTGTGTTCGAGCAAGAAGCTCGCGCACGTCTTGTGCGTGAAGGACATGGTGGACGTGTCCCGCTTGAGCTTGTGCTATGCCTGGAGTTTGATGTTTCCTCCTCATCAGCAAAGTGAAGTCCCAAAGCTCGGGATGTGTCGTCTTGTGTGGCATTCGCCATGCTGCGCGTCATCCGTTGACCTGTGCTAGTTCCTGCAAAATTACCTTGCACCTCTCCTTGTCCAAATTAATTGTTAGTTGGTTGACCCGATACGACCAAAGATCCGCACATGGAAGTGGGATTATGGTTGGACGGCCGCCATAAATTATTTTCATAGAATTATTTAGACCTTTCTTTAGCATATGACCTTGCTTAAAATATTCAAAATTGATTAAGCTCCTAGGTGTGGTAATATATTGCACAGGATTATTTATTAGTACACCCATTAAGTCGGCAATTCTAGAAATCAAAGAAGTTAATTCAATTGGTCCTTTTCTTTCCGACACACTTAGCCAATGTGCAACCATAGCTTTCATAGGTGAAACATGAATTTTGTGAACCATAGCGTACAATACTCTCATGTCATCATTTTTAACAACTCTAACATCATCACGTGGAAATAAAGTTATGCCAATACAACGATGCATGAAACGCAGAGTTGGGTTGTGAATATCATTGGTTCGTGGTCTAAAACATTCATTAAGATCGGTTATATCGTGCCAAAATTCAAGTTTATCAAAAATCATGAGTGGCGGATTCAAGATCTATATTGCACGAATGAGCAAAACCCAGCGCAACACTTAAATTAGTCCATGTGAAGTTATAATCATAATTAAACATCCGGAAATAAACTCCATCATCAAAGACTTGTAATGTGCTCAAAAATTCTAGAGTGAGGGTTTCACTACCTAGATCACGAGAGAAATCCCAAAAAGTACTCCATCCAATGGAATTAAAGATAGAATCAAATTCTACGTCCATACCTGTTTTAGCAAGTAGTGATGGTTCAAATACCTTAGTATGTTCAAAGGTGCGTGTTTGGAGTTTGGTGAAGACGAGGTACTCTTGTGGCTACGTGTACACATACGTGTGTATGTGCGTGCGATCTATTTACGCACGCGCGTGCATAGACTCACTCCATTCGCTATAATCTCCCTACGATCAATTATAGCTCACTCCATTCGTCTAACTCGCTACGCTTTGGTATACACTCCTCTTCCCTCCTAGGAAAGAGTCATTACTACCTCGCTTCGCTTGAACACCTATAACGCTACGCTTCGTGCTAGATAACCTTTCTATCGGAAAGAACATCTATCACTACGCTATGCTTAGGAAGGGAGTGCGGGGAGTCGCTCCCTTTCGTCAATATAGCTTATTTTTCAAAAATACTATCATTGATTTTCCTGCTAGGGAAGTCGATGAGAGGATTTTCAAAGTAAAGTTTAAGGTTGATGGAATGTGACTAATCAATTTGATTTATCCCGAAAGGTTGTATCAAATGACATTAGTCTGGTTCCATCTTCCCTAGCTATTGATGTATAGGTATGCGTATGCCTGTCCTTCGACACTTACCCAAGATGTATTGGAATAAGCAAACATAGCATGTCCTATGATCATGATATGTTTATTTCGGGACATTGTTGTGTTTTTAATTATCATTGCCATTGAGATATGGTTTCCTGGGAGGAGGGAACCATATCGATATACAGATAGACTTTCCTTTTGGGAAGGGAAGGCTATCGGAGTATTCCCCCCTAGGCAGGGGGGTTAGGGGGGTGGATCCGCTTCTAGGGAGTACGGATAATATCTTTTCTTAAGTCCCCCTTGAGGGGGGTTTTGGGGGTGATAAGCTAGCTATAACACTATAGGCGAGATATACTTTCCTCTCGGAAAGG